ATACAGTGAATAATATCAACCCCAATGCAATCAACAAAGATAAATGATCTTTATTTATTGTGATATAAATATCACAAAAGCTCTCAAAAGTCCCATACAAAATTTATATCCATCTATACTACTAATAATTTTTACCATGTATAAAGTACCAGTGTAGCTTAGACAATAGTCTAGTTGATAATTTTGATCTAGTACTGTAAGCATTGTAGGCAATTCTGTTAACATTAAGAACAAATGTTGTGCTTATTGTGATAAATTGTTGTAGAGCTTATTTCCAATGTGCAGGATTTGTTTTAAATCATTAGACTTGTGTATTCCTTTCATTTCTTTCATATAGTGAATGCACAGACTTTTTGCAACACATTTTGACCAGCATAAAATATCCCTAAATATCATGTTTCTTTGTCTGTATGGTGCCTGAACACTAGGGTCAACATTGTACACTGTACAACATTTGTACAACATTTTTCTTTGTCATTGAAAACCCATGCACATGCAAAAATGGGGAAAGATGCTAAGCTTTCAGTCAGGCTTTAGTAGTTGGAAACTTGAACAATAAACATGACAAAAACCTTGCCGAATGGGTCTTTATAAGTACTGTCAGTACWGTGTATCATAAGTATAAATATAAGAAACCAAATACTCACTGCATGGAATGTTTTAACAGGTTTTAAAATACTGATAAGAAAATGAACAATTTCTTTTGATTCTATTGCGAGGTATGTTAAATTCCAATATGGCGGCGGCTTTCTTCCCAACAACGATTAATTGATCTCTTTGACAAGTTTTKAGTTTCGGTGTTGACTTCAGATGCATTTGACTTCATCTCAGGATTCACACAGTCAGTTTGCATTGTATGTCAGTTTTAAGTAAGTGGGTACTGATATTCGAAGGCCTTCGAGTGATTTGAATGATTTGAGGTTTTGTGTGAACTATAAATTTGCTAAGATCGTGGACCGGCCCGTTCCGAAAACCACACTGAGTATCTTTTAGTGTGGGCTTCTAGTTTTGATTTCCTTCATTCTCAACTCCTTTTAATCTTCAAGGTCGTCGAAGCTACGTAGTTTTTACCAMGAKGCCGATCGCTTTTGAAACGAAGACTGCAGACTGTCGAAATCGCGGGCGCTACCACTTTGAAGCCGGAAAATCACAACAACAACACCAAAAACCAGCAGCATTTTAAGACATGGTCTTCCACAGGAAGCCCATGTAATTAGAGCCATCAAAATTAATGTGGACATATGAATATGCAAAAACCTACCAGTAAACTGATATTTGACTCACATGTTTTGAGGGAAAACAATATAGAATTYCATTGGGGATCCATCTGCCGGTGGAAGAGATCATGTGTAGTGAAAAGGAATGGATACAAAAAGGACAAAATCTCACTCTAGATGAAAGCATTCTTTTGGCTTCCTAATATATTCCTTAAAGTATATTCAAAAGTATATTCAAAGCAATATTCAAGTTCTCTGTTAGAACATTTTTGTAAGTATAGTTTACAACATGAGCGGCCGTGTTGTAAACGACTTATAAAACTCCAACACAAATTAACATGAATTACAGTGAGATAAATGACGAAAAATGACAAATAAGACCACGGTAACTGCTGAGTTTAGTCCCTATTAAGCATGCACAATTTACTGCAACACAGAACATTTTGAATAATTATCCATCCCACATGGAAAGCAAGCCATCTGTTGCATAAGGGAGTTCTGTTATCCGTCTTTGATTTCTTCAAAACCTAGTGAAGGTCTATAATGCGACACTAAAACTGAGACCTTTGCTAGTGTTGGGTTGTCTCAATGGTGACGACCGTGTTGTAAATCTGATACAACACTAGTGGTTGTATCAGATTTACAAAGTCAATCACCTGATTAAATGGTCAGCCCTTATTGGAGAAATAGCATATGCATTATTAATAAGTTTT